CCACATGGAATGGATTCTGGGAGAGATGAAGGGGTTTTCCCTGACATGTGAGAGAGCAGAATTGGTCCCTGGGAGACGGGTGGAAGGATTCCTGAGAGGTTACCCATGGCTGGGCGTGGCACTGGAAGGGTTAAATGTATCTGCCCAACCAAGGAACCAAAAGCCCCTGGGGTTAAGTCAGAATGAGTCTCTTGCCAGGCTCTGCTGGGACTCGCCCGTCTTACTCCACGCTGAGGAATGTCACAGTGTCTCCCCTCACCATCCCCAATCTGAGTTTGAGGTAAAGAGAAACTTCTTCTTTTTGTACCTTGCGCTCTTCATCCTTCATGCACCCACCATGGTAGAATGACACAGCGGCTATCACCCCATCCCTGGCACTGTGATCCCTCTGCTCTGATCAGCAATGAGGTGGCTCGGGAGTTTCATAACCTACTCCCTTTCCCAGGGAGAAGAGCAGAGAGCTCAGCGCCTTTCTGCATTTTCCTCCCCCAAATCAGAGGGTCTCCCCTTCCATCCTCTCTCGTGTGGCATTTATGTGGCACTACCGGATGTGCAGAATCACAGCCTAAAAAGGAGGGGAGGAATCCTCACCCTGGGAGTGTCCTCAGTTTCTTTCTCCAAGCCCCAAGGGTCTTTCTCAATCCCTCCCTCTCAGTTTCACAATCTTTGCTCCCTCGGGGCCATGCATTTACCGTGCTGTTAAATGAGGAGGAATGAGCTAGACTCTGTTGGAACCCATGACTAGCCATAGGGATCACTGCAGAATGGCAGTGCATGCTCCATTCACTGCCCTTGCAGAGACTGATCACAACACTTTTCAGCACTTCCAGCTCCTGATGGCTCAGGGAATAGGACCTGGAATCTAACCTGAGTTTTCCAAACAGCCCGGCATTCATATTTCTAACCCCAGAGCAGTGAACTGGCCTCTGCAGCACTCCCTCTTCCCTCCCCACCCCAACACAGGTTGGCTCCATGCTAGATTGCCCTACTCAGTGTACATGTCTACAAGTGTAGGGGAGGGAGAGAGTCACAGTGAGTTAATGCATTTGGGTTTCACCCTTGGCATCTTGGGGTTCAAATCTCGCCATAGCAGAGGGCCAAGGACTGAAATAGATATGGGCTCCTGGTCAGGACTGAGGGGCATGGGCAGAGCTATGAGGGGGTCTCACACTGGAATACCAGAGGGGACTGTAGGACAGGACTGAGCTAGACGTAAAACATTAGCAGAGCTGCACGTGGATTCGTTTGCATCAGCTAAGGCTGCTGACATCTGAAAGTAGGGAGGAAAATCTGACACATAATAGAGACGTGCTTAGAACTTACCAGTACATGAAGATCACACTGTTCTGACTCAACACAGGGCAGGCAAAGCCACCACTGAAAAGACCCCACTGGCTTGCCCAGTACCTGCCCAGCGCTGTACATCCCTTGCTTTCATGAGCACCAAAATCATGTGACAATGTTAAACAATCACAGAAGTGTGTATGCGTCCGTCTGTGTGTGTCTGCCTGCATGTCTCTAGCGTGACGGCTGTGCATGCAAGTACAGAACGCAGGGAAGCAAGCAACTCGGGGTGGGAGCAGAGAGAGGAACAAAATCACTGGGGTAGGAATTCCAAGGCCTTGCAGCGGCCTAAGGCCAGGCCTCAGGCACTTGACAGCCATCCAGGACTCCATCAAGACAAGAGACTTCTTTGATCTACCGCAGAGTTAAAAGGAGATCATTAACCTGCTCTAGACTAATTCCACCCCCCCAGCCGCTGCAGCAGCAGCAGTTGCAGGAAAATCCCTGGCTGCTCTGGTTGGCCCCTGGGGAGACTCCACCCCCCTGCTGCTATTCCACCCTTCTCCAAGCCATACCACAGGATCAGGTGGATGTGTTTGCTGGTAATTCGCGCACTGTGTGCCTTCCCTTCTTAGCTTCTAAGGGTCCGTCTGTAACCTGCATGTGAAGTTTCCTACTCACAGAACTTCCTCAGCCCTGGCTCTGTGACATGGGGATGCTAGGACAGCTTAGGTGAGCATTCCCTTCACACAGAACCAACTCAGAGAGGTGGGGAGAGCATAACAAGCCTCACAACCCGGGCATAGTCTCTCATAGGTCCCTCTCAGACTTGGCTTTGTGACGGGGAAGAAAGTAAGAAACTTCACAGCCCAGGCATGCAGTCCCCGCTCCCAGAGCTGCTTCAGAGATACAGGTAGAGAATAATGAGGCCTACAGCCTGGGTGTGGTGACATGCTTTAGTCAAACTGATAGCATCTCCGACAAGAAAAACTTGGCACCTAAAATTTCTTCTGTGATCAGGGAGTGGAGCTAATTCCTGTCATCCGGTCCCCAGTGAGGGGGCCTGCTTTTGCAATTCCTCTGCACAGCATTGATCCATAAATGCTCCTCCAGTTTTCTCTCCTCCTCCTCCCTAGCTAGCAAGGTCGCATCTCTCCTCTTCCCACTAATTCCACCAAAGTCGTGCAGTTGTGTAGCACCTGCCTGCTGACCCCAGCAAGTGCCAGAGTTTAAAATAAAGTCTAATTTCCTACATGTATTAAGTATCAGGAAGGACCAGAGTCATCTGTACAGTGCAACATTCATCCACAGATGCATTTCTTGACAGGTGAAAACATTAAAAATCAATTCTAATCTCAGGTTACAAATACTTGGACTCACAAACAATCAGTTTTCTAATATAAACTCCAGTGTGTGTGATACATAAATAGTACCATACAGGAGGAATACAGAGCCTTTCACTTCTAGGTCACTGGTTCCAACTAGGGTAACCACCTGTCCCGAATTTCAGTCCCGAAATGCAGAGTTCAAGTCTCGGTTGTGGGTTGAATGACTCTGTGACAGCATTTGTCCTGGATTCCCTCTGCACCTGCCCGAGGCTCGGAGGCAGCACCAGCCTCTTCCTGGTGTGTGTGTGGGGTGGGGTGGGGGAGGAGGGGGCGCTGAGATGGGCCTTGGCCCTCCCTCACCACAAGGCCCCTCCCCCTGCTCCTCCTCTTCCCCCTGAGGCCTTGCCCCTGGCCAGGCCATAAGCCCGGAGTAAGGCCATGGTAAGAGCTTCCCAGGGAGCCCCAGCCACTGTGGGGAAGACCCAGACCCTCCACCTGCCCTGGGTGGCATGCGACATGGGCATGGGCTGGAGACTGCTCTCAGGCACCCTTGTACCCCACTGAGAGCAGGTGCAGCAGGGTCTGGGGATCACCACAGTGGCCCAGGCTCCCTGGGCAGCTCTTACCACTGCCCAGTTCCGGCTTCTGACCTAGCCTGGCCAAGGGTCAGGGCCTCAGGGGGGAAGAGGAGGATCGGGGGTGGGAGCTCAGGGGAAGAAGATGGACAGGGATGGGGCCAAAGAGGGGGGGCAGAGCTCCTGCATGTGTCCTGCTTTTGCCTTTTGAAAAGATGGTCACGCTGGTTCCAACCCAGGTGCAGCTTGGTAATTATCAGAAGTCATCCTCATGTGACAGCTGTTTGGTGGCCCCTGAATGACATGAGTTTATGGCCTCTCCACGGTGTGTCTTGTGGGAAGATGCCTACATCACAAAAAACACCATGAAAACTGGCATTAGCTGGCTCTCTTATTGGCAGCCTCAGTAGAGAGTCCAAGGATTTAGTGGGCTGGGAAACTGCACTTCTCTTCTCATCCCTAAAAATGGTCCCTAAAGGTCAGACCTGAGGCCCATTGGTAACAGGGAAGGGGGCAACAGCATGTGGGGTGAAACTTGCATTGCCATTGCCTGTGTGGTACCTGCTCTGTGGATAAACAGAGGATTCATTGTCTCTAGAGTCATCAGTCTGGCACTTTTCCCCAGCACTAAACTGAAATGAAATGTTACACCCTGAAAGCAGTTGAGCAAAGAATAATCTGGCTAAGAGAGCATTCACCAGAACCCAGGGTACAGGCATCTCACTAATAATCATAAAACAGTAAAACAACCTACATTTCATAAACACATGGGGTCAAATTCTCCTCTCCGTTACAACGGGGCAGCCCGCCGGGGTTCAGCTACCACGCACTGCACAGCAACCCAATTAGGCAAGCAGCTGAAAGGCCAACTTTTCACACATGAGTACTCCAGAATAAAGAGAGCGTGGAGCTAACCGAATAGTTGAGTAATACTTTTCTGTTTCTTTTCCTATTATTTTGGAAATGTGTTTTAATAAGTACTTGCTTTCCCATGCCTCTACTCTGTAGTCCTGCAGGGCAGTCCCAGGGACCAATTCAGAGTTGATATAAGTGGCTGAGATTTCATTGAGCTCCATGGAATTGCACTCACTTACACCAGCTCTGAATCTGGCATGTAACCTAGCATTTGTAATGTCAGCATTCAAGGTTTATGACATTGAAATCCAATGTTTATGACATCACAGCCCAGCACCATGGAAATAACTGTGATGTCGTGGTGCAGAGTTTGTGACTTTACTGCTGGATCAAACAGGAGTAGCAAATTGGTCTGTGAAAGAGGAGTCAGTCTCCCTTTCCACTTCTTTTTTTTAACAGTGCCCAAATGTGCACATAATTGGCCAATGGGATTTAAAAACAAACAAAACCTGCAGAACATCTGACAGATCATGAATGAGTTTCATAACAGAGGGAAATATTGGGAAGGTTTTCTCTGATATTTTGAAAACTCCAGTACTGTATGCACCAGGACTGCCAGCCACCTGGTGAGGTCACACAATCTATCCTTGTATAATGAAACTTCCCTGACTGTTGGCAAAGTATTTAGGGCTCCTCAGCGTGTAATGCTATTGCTCAGCAATTCTCAGACTTCATTCCGCAGACCACTTTGTAAGAGGCAGAGATTCTCTCATTTCGCTTCTCTCAGATTTCCCATCCCACACTTTCATGGCAGCTTTTCTCTCTCCGTTTGGCTGGTTCCCTACCTCTCCCTCCCACTGCCACCTTCCCCTTCCTCACCATAATTAGAGTTGTTTGTGCAGGATTGGCATTCAATACCTGTGTAACATTTGTTTCCTACTTTGTTATTGTCTGGTAGGGGGACCCCATCCCAGAAGACATTTACAAGATAATGAGTGACAGCTCGGTGCACTCCAGGAGTGACCTCCAGCGTGCCCTGCAGATAGACTCCGTAGGTAAATCTCCTCTACACCAAACACTCCTCTTCCTTCCTTACATCTCATGGTGGGAGTACCTTTCTTTTTCCATCAGGTACACTGGCAAGGCTTACTCACTCTAAATATCAAAACATGTTACTCTCTAGGTGCCAGTCTATCAAGCTATACTGCAAAACTCAGTTACAATAGGGCTGGGTGCTGGGGAGATTTAAATAGCCTGGTTCATGGAATGAGAAGCTTGAGAAAAACCCAAGCAAGCTTCTGAACTAGGAGATTCCCAGAGAGGTGGTTGGAGTGGAAGGTGAGTAGATTAGGAGGTGCACAAGCGAGCGAGTGAACTAGCTTATGAGCTGATGCAAAGGCACACAGGTGAATGGATGAAGTGGGCTTTGAGGAGATGCACAAGTGGATGAATTGACTGATCCATGGGTAGACAGAAAGACAGACTAGTGGGTGGTTGGGAGGTGGCCTGGTGAACTGATAGCACTCATCTAGGAGAAGGTGGGCATATGTGCAGGGGGAGGAGGGATGAGAGAGCTGGTCCCCAAGTAGAATAGATAGGGAGGGGCATAGGCAGGTGTGTGGACTGGTTCACAGGTAGGTCCTTCTATGAGATGATAGAAAAGGGAAGAAGGATGTGGGATTGTGTCAGGCTGACTAAACTGGTGGTGGGATTGGAATTGCTTTGTCATTTTCTGTGGGTAATAGCTCAGAGTTTGCAGTGCTTGGGAACACCTGGCCAGGACTGAAGTCACAGAGCAGCAGCCCAGGGAGCAAAGTGTGGAGGGATTGGCACATGTGGGAATAGGACCACGTGTCACGGTCGCCAGGCTGGATCAGGAATTTATTTATAAACGGTCTCTTCAGAGTGAATTCCATTCTATTCTAACCTCTGCTCCCGCCCGTCCCCCTCCACCCCCCTCGCCTTCTCTCTTGTGTTTTGTCTGTTTGTAGCTTTGTAATCCTTGCCGAGACACTATCTACGGGGGAACAGAATTTCCTGCTTTTGTTTCCTATGCCAGTCGGACCACTGGCACGTTCTCAAAAGCATTCCCGCTCCCTTTCAAAATGGTCTGGGAGGGGGGGAGAGAACCAGCTGTGGGCTGCTATTGTTTTCCTTAAAAAGAGGCGACGAGGTCCCCCCCAGTTCTTCTTCTGAGTCCATGAGCCACACAATGGGGCAGCTTCCAAAATTAGAAGCACTGCCTTTTGCAAGCCTGGGTCCCCACCCCTGTCAGCAACAGCAGCAATGGCCTATCAAGAAGAAGGGGGGGAGAAGGGGGACCTCGGTTTTCAATAGAAGATTTGTTTCAAGTCAACAGTGTTGCTATTTTTTTCTCATCAACTCAACCTTTATGCAAAAGGCAACCCCCACCCTGGCCTGATAAAATTCCAGAGAACGCAAGATGGGGGGAGGGGGAGAGACAGAGAAGATGTGTGCAGTCTGTCATGTCCTATAGTTTATGTAAGGGATACATTTCTGTTCCAGTGACTAACCACTCATATGCTTAAGAAATGAAACAGGATTCTCTTGGGAGACCAGGGGTTTGGGAATGGGCTATGAAGCCTTTCAAGTTGGTTCCACACTAAACCCAGATTAGGAAAGACTGGATGACGCAGGGGATCACATATGGGACTGAAAGCTTTCATACCCAAGTTACAGATTCCAATCTGCCCTCAAGTAGTTAGTGACTGCATGTCATTACTCTTCGCTGGCCTATGTGAAATCAGCCTGGTGTTGTCACAGCAGGCCGGCAGACAGGTGTTCACATCACAATATCCACCAATGATGACTTGTTAACTTGTGGACTGAATAGAGACCAAATGCTCCTCTCACCCTTAAGAAGTGGCCTTCTCCAGGGCAGGGGTGAAGTGCATTATGGGGAGTGATAGGTGTGGGAAGCTTGCTCTGCTGTTGTGCCTGATAAAGAGAGATCTTCAGTCCAGTGCCTTGTCCCGGTCCTGAATTCACTTTAATACAATAACTCCCTGGAGGCTGATGCCCATTTTGCCTCCCACTGCAGCTACACCAGGCCACCGAAGGAGAGAGCTGCCACTGGGTGGGAGTTGTCTCTGAACACTGCTGTTGTCTGGGGCTCAGGAGGGGCCACTTACTAGAGCAACCCATGGAGACTTTGAGAATTTCTCTGTTCAGCACTTCCTATGGGAAAGCAGTGGGATGGGGATACTGGGAACTGGGCTGACTGCTACCAGTCCTCCTCCCCTCCTTCCCAACTACCCCCAGTACCTGAGTTTTAACTGACAGTAATAGAGGGGAAGAGTTATTTTAAACTCATTTTTCTATTCTCATGCCAAAAAAGTTGATTACCTCAAATGAGCATGGTGGGTTGGGAGAGAGAACGCAAGTACCCCACCGCCACCTCATCTAACGCACCTGCATCCTGACCTCCCGCAGCCCTGCTATTCCAGTTCTGGGTCCTCCACTCAGCTCTGCCAGTGCCCCTCAGTCCTGCTCCGTAGCACCCTCTGTTATTCCAGTCCTAGGACAAACACACAACTCTACCACTGCACTTCAGGTTTCACCTGCAGCACCTCCTGCTAATCCAGCCTTGCTCCTTGCCCTCCAGCCCAGCTCAGCTGATTCATCTGAATCTTGACTTGCAACTCCCTCCGCTACGCCACTTATATTCCAAATAGCTCTGCTAAAGTGCATCTCACTCTTGCCCTAAAGTATCTTCTGCAAGTCCAGTCCTGGGCCTCCCTTTAACGAGATATGCCAGTTACTGTGAATGGAGCAGTATGATGAGGTGAACAAATGTAGAGACTCCCCACACTCATTGCACTTGTGACCTGAGCTGGGACTTGAACTTAAAACTCTGGACAGGACATGCTAGTGCATTAACTAGACTGATGAATCACCCAAATGCTGCCTCCTCTGTCACTTGATGCCCACACCATTGCCTCACTTTTTTAACCTCTACATTGTCTTCTTTGGCTATGTCCTTCTCTTGCAGAAGAGGATGGCTCCAGTTTGGACCTGAACTCAACCCGAGCCCATCCTGGTCAAAACTTGCCTCGAGTGAGACGAAGTCTAGGTGAGTGACAGACTCAGACCTAACTTCTGTGCAGGAGTTTCAGTGTAAGTGGGAGATTAGGTATACAGATACAGTACATGGGTATATACAGTCTGCATCTGTGTCCACCAGGAGTGTATGAATGTGCCTGTGCGTGTTTAAGTGTGTTCACTGTGCATATGTGCATTTAGCCACGTACGTGTGTTTGTGTTACGGAGCCTATGTCTGCCTCTATGCTACCAAATGTAGTCTCCTTCTTTCAGCATTGCTGTAACTGCCCCAGTGCCGGGGTAGTGCAGACAGCAGGGTGCAGGCATTTCCAGCACTGTGTCCCAATGCCCTCCTCTGGCTGGGCCTTCGGACTTGGTGTTGGAAATGCCTGAGCCCTGTCTGCATTAGCATTCACTTCATAGCTTGTACCAGTACTGGAAAACAAGCACTAGATATGCTATTGTAGTCACGTCTTGTGTCAGTCAGTGACTAACTCTGTTTCTGCTGAGTGTGCTACTGCCCTAAGCAAACGTAGAGACTGCTATTAATTGTTAAGTATTGAAATTAGCTGAAATAATTCAACAGAGTGGAATGATAATGGACCAGGCCTGGTGCCCTAGCAATTGTTATTTGCACTTTTTGATTCCCAGTCCCATCCTCTGGCTCCAGCTGGGGCCAGCAGGGCCTGAAAGCGCTGCAGAGGCCAAGCGTTCAGCACCTGCAGTAGAGGAGCTGGTGTTTGGAAGCAGGAGACATCATTCTGCAGCAAATCACTCTGTCTCGTTACACAGCAGCACTGACTAGCCCCTGTCCTTTCCGGCCCGAGATGTGAGCTGTAGTTATTATTTATTATGTACCATCAGGATGCTTGGCCCTTTGAAGGAGACAGTGAGGGGCATTGAATGGGTGCAGGATGGAGAAAGAATATATATCTGTCGCTCCAGGAAAGTGTGAGCCTTTGTCCGATAACCTAGTGGGGTTGCATCAGGTTTCTGGGAGTAGCCTGTGAAGACCTATTTCACCATTTTTCTCTTCGGTCCCTCTATATGCAGTGGTAGATGCTGAGCCAGCAGTACTCGCAGAGTGCAAGACACGGACAGAGGTCTTTGAAATCTCCCGGAGCATGGTAGATTCCACCAATGCCAACTTCGTGGTGTGGCCGCCGTGTGTGGAGGTGCAGCGGTGCTCCGGGTGCTGCAACAACCGCAACATGCAGTGTCGCCCCACAATGGTCCACGTGCGGCATGTCCAGGTACACAAGAATCCTCTCTCCTCTCCCTCCCCCTTGCTTCCTTCTCTCATGGCCCCTCCACTAAAAACACAAACCAACTGTAGTCATACAAGTGAGGGGCCAACAGTGCTGGCCTCTCCATCACCGCTCTGACGATGCACCTCAGCCCAAACACACGAACTGATACAGCATCTCCTCCTCCTCTCCTTTCCCCTCTGTGATCTTCCTGCCTAGCCCGGCTGTAAACAGACACCTGATAGCTGACCTCTTGCTCTGATCATGCTAGCTCTTCAGTTAATAGTGGTTTCCACACTTCCTCCCAGACAGCTCATTTCAAAATATAATCCTGCCGCACAAATCTTCTGCCTGACCTGTGAGAGATTCCCTCAGGCCCTGGGCAGGCTGGTGTGTGTGTCTGCTTTATCAGGAAATTCTTTTCTCAGAAAAGCCACTCTGAATGAGGGAGAAATAAGAGAGAGGGGGAGAAATGGGAGTTGTTTTTGTGGAAAAAGCAAAGGAGAGGGCAAAAGTCAGCCAGGAAAAGTGACCCGGAAATGGCTTCTCTGAGGACAGAAGTCTCTGTATTGTGTGGTTGGAAATGTTTGTCTAGTGAGCAGCGTGTGGTCTGAAGCGTGTGGGCTTTCAAGGAAAGATAAACAGCCAGTAGGTTTGATCACTGGTTGAGTGATGTTGCCAGGGCCAGTGGTTTGGGAGGATTTCAGTTCCAGACTCAAAGCAGTGATAGTATTTATAGCCCGCAGACCTCCTCAGGGAATGTGGTTTTGTTAGATAAGCTAAACTAGGTCAGGCCTGGTCAGTATTTGAATGGGAAACCACCAGCGCAAATGTAGGGACTGTAGGATGTGCTGCCGGAGATCTAGTAAGAGGTGCTCTTCCCACTGAGGGTACAGCTACACTGCCCCCGCTGGGAAGTGTAAGTCCCACTGCAGGAAGATGTACAGCCCCTAGCTCTGACTGAACTAGTGCTCTAAAAATAATAGTGTGGCCGCAGCAGCTCGGGCTAGCTGCTCAAGTACCATCCCATCCACGATCCTCGGTACGTACTCTGGCTCTTTTTAGCGCACTAGCTCGATCAGAGCTAGCATGTGTACATCTGCTTGAGCTGGAAATTACACCCTTCAGCTGCATTGTACATGTGCCTTGAATCAGTGATGCAAGGACTGCAGAATGGTTCCCGGGAGGACTGTGTTGCCAGACGTGCTGCCCTTAACATGAGACGTGAGCCCCTTGCCATGTTAGTCATTAAAAATCATGAGACAAATTCAGACGTGGCTTCGCTGAAGTTAGTAGAGTTGCGCTTGTTTACATCAGGTCTGAATTTCTCCTCTCTGCCATGCTGTTTTTTGCAACAGTAACGGTTTTAACTCCAGTATCTCAATTCAGTTAATTACATTCTGCCTACCCCAAAACTTCCGCTGTCAAATCTATCAGACCCAGCATTGTTCTGTATTTCTTTTCCCAGTTGTGTAATGTTTCTGGGCACTGTTCATGTTTCATGCAAGAAGCAGCTGTAAGTCAGGAGTGGGTGAAGTGATTCTCTGTGTACAAAGCCAAAGTCAGACCTGCCTGGCTATGTGCTACTCTACTGAAATCAGTGAAAGCTGCACCAAACTGTACCAGGCCTGGATTTGATCCGTGGATTTTAAAGTGCTTTTGGACCCTTTGGGAAGAAGGGCAATAGAGAAATAAAGGTAGTAATCATATTGATGTAGTGGTAGCTGTAGCTGTATTTATATTTTAGATGGGTTTGTTTTTATTCTCACCCAATAGGTAAACAAGATAGAATTTATCCAGAAGAAGCCAAACTTCAAAAAAGCCATTGTGCCCTTGGAGGATCACCTGGAGTGTCGATGTGAGGCACTGTCATCTCGGCCCTCCGGTCGTGGTCGGCCAGATTCACGTGAACACAGAGGTAAGGCTGCTGGTATTAGGGGAAGAGAGGGAAATGCTGCAAGATGAGACAGAGGGCCAGAGCCTCAGCTGCTGTGAATCAGCACAGCGCTGGTGAAGTCCATGGAGCTTTGCTGATTTCCAGTGACTGAAGATTCTGCCCAGAGTGTTGCTTGTGAGAGGGGCAAAAACGGGGGGAAATGGAGGCGGGGAAGGGGGAAAGAAAGACAGAGGAAAGCATGGAATGGGAAAGAGGGAAAGAGCAGAGAGGAAAAGGAGAGTGGAGAAATGAGGAGAATAGATGACGTGAGGAAGAATGGAGGGGAAGGAAGAAGGGGGTCTTCGGCTCTCTTGCTGTAGAGATGGTGGGGAGGGAGTGGTATTTCCAGCTATCTCCGCTGCTGTTCATGGCATGATAGACTCCCATCTCTGTTTTGGCAGGTGAGTCACCATCGATCACTGCAGCCCCTGTTTCAGTGAGACAACGAGCGCGCCGGCTGCCAGCACGAAAGAGAAAACATCGGAAGTTCAAGCATGTCCATGATAAGAAAGTGCTGAAAGAAATCCTCACAGCATAGAGGTGCTGGCCAGGGAGAGAGTGCAAGGCAGGTAATAACAACTGCCACAGGAGGGGGGGCACTTTGGGAAGTGAGCCAGTCTGCTCTTCTAGTCATGGGGAATACCCTTCCCACACACAAGCACTGCCTACACACCTCAATTGCTACCCACAGCACCTGCTGTGACTTCAGCCCTGGGCCTGCCCAGGTATCTCAGTTCTGCAGCTCTTGTTATTCCAGTGTAGGGCCAAGATGCCCAATAGTGCCAAATTGTGTGATCTAATGAAGTAACAGGACTAGCCTGGTACTCACCAAATTCATCCCACTTATGATTCATCACATTTGAACTCATTCTTGCAGAGGTGAAAGGTTTATGCATTAATTCCACTTTACCACTGAGTCCCACTCTACCACCTCCCTTAAAGCTGAGCAAGCCCATCCTCTCTATATCAAAAAACCACTGGAGACCATATTATTTGTCTATTATGTGGAGCTCGCTCTGATCTTCCTTCATGGATTGAGTTTCCACTGGAAATGGAGAATTAATGTCCATTTTGTAGTCTCTGTTGCAGGATTGCTTTTTTTAGTTTTTTGGTTAAAATGGTGGAAGGACAGAAAAGGAGCAGCACTTTGATGAGTCTCGCTGCCCTAACAGGAAGTCTGAGAGCATAACAAAGGTTAAAAAAAAGCAACAGGAGAACTGGAGTCTTGGAATTAAATCTGGAGCCTTTCAATTCTAGGGGCCTGACTCTCTCACTTACAGAGATGTAAATCAGGAGTAACTCCATGGACTCCAATGGAATTTCACTGGTGTAAAGCTAGTGTGAGTTAAAGGAGAATCAGGCCTTGGGTTCTCAATAGGCTAGGCCTTTTGAGACAGTGAAAGAACTGGTCTGAGCACAGAAACTTGGAGCCAGGAGTCTTCTAACCCCACCTTTAGCACTAGGGCTGCTCTGGGTTCTTCTGCCATTTTAATCAAAAAAATACACCTCTAGGTCCCTGGCCTGCCCAAGAATCCAAATGCAAGGGTGATGTGCTGCTATTTTTGCTCCTGTGCCAAGCTTAGCTGGGTCTGTCCTGGAGATAACCAGAAGAATTCAGTGGCTTGGTCTCCAGTGCTATTAATGACAGGTTTCAGAGTAGCAGCCGTGTTAGTCTGTATTCGCAAAAAGAAAAGGAGTACTTGTGGCACTTTACAGACTAACAAATTTATTTGACCATAAGCTTTTGTGAGCTCAAATAAATTTATTAGTCTCTAAGGTGCCACAAGTACTCCTTTTCTTAGTGCTATTAAAGTGGTACTTTAAAGCAAACATTATCATAGAAGAATCAAAGAAGGAAGGAGAATAGTAGAGTGAGATGGGTTCTTATTCTAATTCAGTGTCTGTGTTTGTTTCACTTTTAGGTTTATTTAATATACAGTAAAACCTGTCTTAGAGATCAGCTCTGAAGAGAAACCACCTGTCACGAGCAACTACTTGCAGAGGCCACAGAACACAACCACTGTCTGGTGTGCAAACCTTTGAAGAGAGACCACCTCTTACAAGTGACCACTTTTGCTAACTCCCATGAGTGGTCGCTCTTGGCAGGTTTTACTGTATTTGCTGTATTGCCCCCATGGGGTCCTCAGAGTGATAACTCTTCCTCTCTGTCGGTCTGTCTCGGTGCCCGAGTCGGACGGCAAATGGTGCTTCCCTTTCCATGACCGGACCTTCTCCCTAGATTTCCCTCTCTTCATTTACTAAAAACATTTTAAAGTTTTCCAAAAAAGAAAAAACATTAGGAAAAAAAAAGAAAAAATCACAACTGGAACAGGATGATGCCTTTCCTACTGCAGAGGATAGAACAGCAAATGGGAAAAAGAAAAATGGGTCAATTTTCCTTTGAGGGGGAAAAATGGGGGGGGGGGGAATGGGAGCAATTTTCTTCCTTTCCCCTCTTCTTCTTGGTGAGGGTGAGGGACCCTGGCTGAGATCAATGATTGTGATGGACATGTTTTAAAACAGTCAGACCTCAGATTAAGAGAGGAAACCAATGATGGAAAATGCACTAAGGACTTTTATTGTCCCGTCTGGACAGATTTTGTGTGTGTGTGTGTGTATATATATTATTTTAAAAACCACTAAAATGTACAACATCTCGGGGAACAGAAAAAATGAAAGCAAAATGCATTTATCCCATCCACCCCTGGTGCAGACTGGAAGACTTTTGGGGCAGTGGGAAGGAGTGGACAGCTGGCAGAATCATTCTCCCCTCTCCTGGCCCCCTGACAAAGGATGCTGTCTTTGCACATGGCTGTAGAGGTTCGACTTTCCAGTCTGGGGACTTGGGTTATTGTTTAATTCACTTGTATGTGTGTATATATATATATATATATATATATATCTGGTTTTAAAATGGATTTGTTCCACGGTGGGAGGAATCTGCAGGCATGTTTGTGCATCAGCTCAGGTGGGCTAGAAGAAAAGCAAACTTTCCACGGCTTTACCCAGGGTGTGTAGGGTGCAAAATGGGGTGCACAGAGCAATGTCCCTCACTCTCTTTCCCCCTGCTCACAACTCCCCTGCAGGATACAGAATGACAACACAATCAACCAACGAAATTCAGGCTTAGAAACATTACTTCATCAGAACAAACTGTAACTGGCTGACCAGTGATCCTGAGGGCAGGATAATATTATGCAGAAATATCTGAGAGCAGAATAACCCTTTCATGGATAGGAGTACTTGTGGCACCTTAGAGACTAACCAATTTATTTGAGCATGAGCTTTCGTGAGCTACAGCTTCTCATATCACACTCTCAGTTGCTCGCCCCGTCTCTACGTCCCTGGTTCTCCCATTTTCCTCCCCCATTTTTCTCTCTCAAACACACACACGAGGATTTCCTTAACTTACATTAAAGCTCTTTTCAGTTTCAAAAGCACTATAGATCCAAGGAATTTCTTGGGCAGTTGAAGGGGTTTGGGGTGAGGGTAAGGGGAGAAAGTGAACCTCTACTTCACAACAGTGATTAAAAACAGAAACAATCCCCTGTGGTGAAAGAGCATTGATGACTGGTGTCCTGACCTTCACGGACATCTTCGAGAGCTGTAGAAGTCTAGGTGGGAGAGGACAGAATGATTCTTCAGATAGGGACCACCTGTACACACACAATTATTAGGACATTGTTATTTATCATATGTATTGCAGGAGACGACCCAGTCATGGACCACTGTGCTGTGCACACAGAACACAACAACAACAAAACAACATAAACACACAACAACAACAAAAACTGTCCCTGCCCCAAAGAGCTTACAATGCAAGTTAGAGCTATAACTTTCCCAGCTGCCTCTCCTTATTCCATTTCCTTTACTGTGATCATTCTCCCATGGGAGAATGAGGCAGAAGAAGGGGAAAATATGCAGTACCCTCTCCACAGGGAATAACCCCTCTCATGGTCACTCAGTACAGCATACACATTGGGACAGAGGAAACAAGGAGTAGGCTGGAGGTAATTCCACCCTCGTATTTGTGCCCTGGTGGTAAAGGTCCCATCCACCAAATTCAGGTCTCAGTGCAGGCAGAAGTTCCATGGGGAGACTAGCAGCAGGAGAAAGGTGATGATGCAGCAGGATGGGAAGTGCGGTTCATCAGACAGGGGCTTAGATCTCCCCTCACCTCAAGCCCAGAGCTCCTCGCTTGCTGCCAACATCTTTCTCTGCCTCTTGCACTCTGCTCCATTCCCCCTACCCCACCCCATGACTTCTCAAGTCTTAAGACACTTTGCTTTCCTGCTCCAAAATCTCCTTCCTGTGGTTTGTAAAGTTGGTGAGGTTTTGTTGTTTTTTTTTGCTTTTTTTTATTTTAATGTAAGATTAATTTATACTCAGTACTGTATTTAAAGTTGTAAAAAAATACAAAAACAAACAAACACCCAAACTGTCAACAAAGTGTTAAGTTTCTTCTGTATGCAAAACTAAAAAGGCAAAAAGTGATCAGAGGTCAGACAGAGAATCCCAGCTCCTGCACTTCAACTGAGATTATAAAAGCAGCAACTAGAGACTGAACATTCACATTTGCTTTTCTAGTCCACCCCAGCCGCCAGCCAGGGCTGGGTTTTTCCCTCCTGTGTATTCCTCTGTACTTTGTCCAGTCTAGTTTTCAATGACTCAAGTGCTGGGGACTTCTCATTCTAATATATCTCACCTTTAGCAATGTTTTCTGATGCCCAGCCAGACTTCCCCATTGCTCACTTTCATCCCATTATTCCAGGTTCTACTCCTTTGAGCAACTCAAAACAATTCCTCTTCCTCTCTGGTGTTTACATTCTTCATAGACTCCTAAACAGTTGACATATTCCCCCCTTAGTCATCGTCTAGACATCTACAGCTCTTCTCACATAAGGGTTCAGAAGGCCAAAGTGTTTCCCCTTCCACTGGGTAAGGGAGGGGTTGCACATTCTGGCACCTATGTGTCATAGCACTGCCCCATGCTACAGTGCAGTTAACACACATGTGGGTACAAACAGCTGCCTCAATCTGGGCTGTTCTACAGAGAACTGTTGGAATGTCCCTATGAACTGGCAAATCACCCCCCATTTCTCTATTCCCTGAGCCCCCCGCTCTGTTTTAGTTAGTAAAACAATGTGGAACAATTGCTTCACTAACTAAAAGAGTAATTCAGAGTCTTGGAGAAGCAGCATTCAAAATTCTCTTGCAACTACTTGTGTACAATTGCACCATGCTACCCCACAATCTCCCTGGCACTTTAGAGAAGTTATTCTTCCCTTTCCTTCCTAAAATACTCTCGTGTTGCCTGTTGTGGTTTCTGACTAAATGTAGTACAGGAACATCACAGTTTTAACGGCCCTGGCCTCTTCTTACAGTCTAACCACATGTACAGGAAAAGGCCTGACAGCTCTGAAACTCCACCAGCTCATTGAGCTGAGCTCACTAATTAATACTCAGTTCCCTTTACCTGCTCTCAGGTACAGTGGTTTTCCAACTTTTTTCTAGCAACCCAGTTGAACAAAATTGTTGATGCCCGTGACCCAGCGGAGCTGGGGATGAGGGGTTTGAGAGGGGTTCAGGGCTGGGGATGGGGCCAGGGATGAGGGGTTTAGGATGCAGGAAGGGGCTCCGGATTTGGGGTGGACTCAGGGCTGGGGCAGGAGGTTGGGGGTGCGGGCTTACCTCAGGCGGCTCCCAGTCAGCAGCCCAATGGGGGTGCTAAAGCAGGCTTCCTGCCTGTCCTGGCACTGTGGACCCTGCTGTGCTCCTCAAGCAGCCAGGTCCAGCTCCTAGGTGGAGGCACGCAAGTGGCTCTGCATGGCTCTCGCCTGTAGGCACTGCCCCACCCCCCAGCTCCCATTGACCAGGAACCAGCCAATGGGAGTGTGGAACCGGTGCTCGGGCAGCACACAGAGCCCCATGACCCCCTGCCTAGGAGCTGGACCAGCTGCTGGCCACATCCGGGGTGCAGCGCAGTGTCAGAACAGGTAGGGACTAGCCAGCCTTAGCTGGGCAGCACTGCTAATGGGACTTTTAATGGCCTGGACGGTGGTGCTGACCAGAGCTGCTGCGACCCAGTACTGAGTTGCAATCTGCAGTTTGAAAACCACTGCTCTGGTTGAGGGAGCCAAGCACAACCAATATATTCAACACAGAGGTATACAGACCCAAGTGGGAGCTCCTTTTTCCACTCCCTAGGTGGCAGATCCAAAGAGCTCAATGTTCTATATAGTCCCTAATCCAGAGGCTACCTCCAAATAAAGGGCCTGGATTCCAGTGTTCCAAAGTTCATCTCTTATTCGGGCACTGTTCATTAAAGGTGTAGGACAATTGCTACACTCCTCCTATAGGAAGCTTTACTTCAGTGGTAGGTGAATGGCCCCTACCTGCATTCTCTACAGCACATTGGGATTAGCAGAGTGGAAAGTGCTAGTGAAATCTAAGAGATGATGCTGATGCAAAGTGCTTTGGTCTAGAAATGGGGATTGGACTTCCTGTAAGAACAGGCATTTTCTCATGAGACTTCTCCAGGCTAGTCTTACAATTTGAGAGACTTCAAGTAGCTTGGTTTGATGGGAATTGTGTGCAAGGCAATGAAGAATCGGGCATTCAGAATTCAGGTCAGATCCATACAGATTGTACCCCCACTTGTGGAAGAAGGGGAGGCTGTGTTCCCACTCCATAAGCCCAGGATGGGACATGTTCCCTCTCTGTCCTCTACACACACGCCACTGCTACAGCAGTTCAAACAGACCGGTACAAAATCATCTGGAAGAGTGACAACAAGCAAACATTTATCTATAGCTCCAGCTACTCCTAAATGAGTAAGTGCTGCACGAAACCATTACTCAGAACGCTTTTGACATTACAGCACTTGTTCAATGCCTGGCATCCATATATAACACCTGTCCTAGAACTGATTATAATGTTTGGGTGCAGAAACTTGGATAAGCTTTTACTTCAGGACTAATTGAACTAGTGTAGTGTACAATGTTTTCTCTCCAGTGAGGAGAGGAAACCACAGCACTGATGCTGCACTGGCGTAGTCAGGCCTCCAAACGCCATCCCAGAAAGTAGAAATGAGCTCCCAGCAATTGTGCTGGGCACGATGGGCAATTCAAAAGTCCCAGGATTTACTGGTTCAAGTTTGTAAGGAGTGCTGTATAGGGATGTGCCAAAAAATAGCTCTGGTGGAGTTGCTGCATGGACACATAAAACCAGTGTTGCCAGCTCTCACGATTTTATCATGAGTCTTATGACAGCTGATGTTTTACTTAAAGCCTCAGCTCCTGGTAGATTGTGATTACACAAGAATACAGATCAATCATCATCATCGTCATCTTTCATTTGTTTCTAGCCCTCGTGGTTGTGGAAAAAAGCTTGACATTTTGACCTGCGTGCACCCCAAAGGCTCAAAACCTATAAGGCAAATAAAAAGACTGCCAAATGTATTATTTTTTAAAACTCGTGGATTTTCAGCCAATCTGATGATTTTTCAGTGTTCAGGGTTAGCAATACTGAAATCATTGCAAAGACAAGGGATGCAACTAATTACACCCAATCACCCTTCCCGCAACAGTTTCCTCACCTAGGCCCCAGTTCAGAAAAGCACTTAATTACATGCTTAAATCTATCCCTCTTTAGAAATGGGCCTTAAAAACATACTTAAAAGCAGAGGTTCTCAAACTTCATTGCACCATGACAGGGCTGGGGTGGAGCCCGAGCCCTGCCGCCCCAGGCTGAGTCCCTTGGGCTTTGGCTTCAGCCCCAGATCCCAGCAAGTCTAATGCTGGCCCTGGAAACCCCATTAAAATGGGGTACCCGACCCACTTTGGGGTCTTAACCCAGAGTTTAAGAACCGCTGAGTTAGGCACATGCTTACATGCTGCCCTGAGTAGGGATGCTTTCCTGATTCAGGACCTCAGAGCCAGATTGTGGTCCTCTTAACTCACACTGGTGATCAATTACTCACATGAGTGGGCTCATTTACATCAATGGAACTAGTTCTGTAAGTGTTCTCTGTAAGTGGTAAGGGGTCACAATCCGGCTTCAAGGACACTAGCTCTTAGTATAGAAATGACTTCTGAGTTCTGTGTCTGTTTATATCTGTCTGAAAATATGTCCATGTCTCTGTGTGAAAGGGTGTGGGGGGGAAGAGAACAAGGGAAAGATGGAAGGAAAATGAGGAAAATATGAGAAAAAACTAAAAACACCAAACCCCAACCAGACAGCTGTTCATCACTTAATTTCACACAACCCATGACCACATTCTACCGCTCCCTTGACTGCTGTAATCTCCCCATGACCAAGTGAGCATGGCAAGGCCCTGGACATTTCACAACTTAAAAGGCTTTGTACATCAATTGTTACAGACCTGTAACACACACACACAGTGAAGTGGTGTGTTGGAGCCTAGCCCGGGCCCTTCTCATTGGCAGCTGCAGAACTTACTTAAAATGGTGGACCACAGAGTGAGGCTGTGGTGTTCCCAGAGGTCACCACAGCAGCACTGATAATGGCTCAGAGAGGTGCAGAGGGGAATGAACCAAGGCTTGTGTCTCAAAATAGATAATAATACTACATAGCTCTTTTCATAGATCTCAAAGGGATTTGCAAACAAGGTCAGTATCATTCTAGCGGGGCGATGACTCACCAGCACAGCGCCTCCTGCTGGTTGTCTGGGAATTAGCTCTCCTCCAGCATATGGAGCACCCTCTGCAGGCCAGTATCTCGCCTGCTGCTGGCCCCGTGTCCCTCCCAGACCCCAGTGCCCTTTACCTTGGGGTGCTGCCCCCTGGCAGTGTCCCCACACTCTGGGTCTCCCCTCCCAGGGAACCCCCAACCCTCTAAACCCACCTTGCCTCCGTGGCTACTGCCAGTCATCATCTAGCCCCTGCTCACTGGGGCAGACTGCAGTGTAATGGCCACTCATCATTGGCAAGAGGTTAGGACCCGCTGCCTTTGCCTATCTCTGGGCTGCCCCTCTGCAGCCCCAGTACCTTTGTATGCCTTCACCAAGGCCTGCAGCCTGGGGTTTTATCAGGCTGGAGCTCCCCAGTTCCCTCTACCCTTCCCCAGCACTGCTCTACTTCAGGGGATGTAAAGAGGGATGTAATTTAAGCATGCTCCTGGGCAGCTAGCCCTTCCCACTCTAGGGCTAGAGTGAGACTTCTACAGCTCCTGGCCCTCTCTGACCCCCCAGGCTTCCTGCGAATCAGCTGTTTGCACGGGAAGCCGGGGCAGGCTGAGAAGCAGGCCGCGGCTTCCCGCTGAGGCCCAGGGAGGCGGAGGTGAGCTGGGGCAGGGGGGCGCGAGGAGGGCCGCCCGCGACGCAGCAGGTAACCCGGGGGTGAGGGGCCGCACAGAGAAACCGCTCCCCTTCCCAGCTCACCTCCGCCACCCTCGGCCTGAGCGCGAAGCCGCCGCCTGCTTCTCAGCCCTCCCAGGCTTCCCGC